AAAATCTTTAAAAAAAAAACAAAAACAAAACTCTACCCTTTTCTTCTCCTCCCCATATTTTATGTTTTGAGTCACAATACACTTTATTTTGTACTGTGTATCCATTAATTATTGTAGCTGTAGCTATTTTTTATACCTTTGTCCTCTAATCTCTATACTAGAGTTAAGTGTTTAACACACCATCATATTATAGTATTAGATCATTCCGAATTTGATCATATACTTAGCTTTACTAGTATGTTTTAAACTTTCATACGTTTTTAAGTAGACTCTTTTGAGCTTAAAGAACACCTTTGAGTGTTTCTTGTAAGACAGGTTTAGTAGTGATGTACTATCTCAGCTCATAATCCTTGTGGCCTTGTGATGGTGTCTGTACATTTGAGGAAGTAGGTGCCTCTTCCAATCTTTATCAATAGCCTTGGGCAGGCAAAGCCCGTGACCAGTCAGCCCATCCAGAGATTCTGGAAAGCCTGTGGTGGTATCTGAAAGCAGGCATCCTGCTGGACACTTTGGGCAGGAAGGTATAATGTCTAGTTGGAAGGTGGCAGGACTGGTACTTGAATGCACAAGCCTCATGTCTGAGTCTGCAGGGATAGGGTGTGCCTAGCAATTGAGTCTGACGTGACTGGCCTGGAATCTGACCTGTGTGTGGTCAACAGAGGCCAACTGGCACCAGAGACTACTGGGTTAGAACTGGCATCCGGGTCCACAGGACCTGGTTTGGTACTAGGGTGGTATGGGAACCTGGTTTGGTGGTAGAGTTGTCTGGGTGACTGGTTTCCCAGTAGCCAGACTGGAGGCCAGGACCACTGTGGCTGGCTTGGTGCTAGGGCAGCCTGGAGCTTGGAGTCTTCGGAATCAGCCTGTGACCTGAGAGCTTGGGTGCTCCACCTGAAGGCTTGTTCTGCTGGGACAGGCCTGGTGCTGGGACAAGCAGAGAGCCTGAATCAATGGGAACTAGTCTTCAGTCCAGATCTGCAGAGGCTGGTCTGGCACTGGGTGGACTGGGGGACAAGGGGACACAGGAGCTGATCTGGTGCTGGGGTGGATCAAAAGCCGGTCTCTGTGGTAGTTGGCTTGGCTGGGCCCAGCCAAGAGCCTGGGTTCATGGGAGGCTGCCTGCCTCCAGAGTTTAGGGGATGTTTGGGAACCTTGGGTCACAGGAGCTGCCCTGGGTCATGGGAACAGGTCAATTTTTAGATATGCTGGGAGCCTGGGTATGTGAGCCACTGGGAGCCTGGTGTCATGGGCGCTGCCTGGAGCTGTGGGAATTTCCTGGGCCACTAAAGCCTTTTTTTATTGATTGATTTTTTTTCTTAAGTGGGTACAGAGCTATTATAAATTACCAAGCTGACTGAGATATCTAGATGGATGTGGTATTTAATGAAATGGAAGAAATGAGTTATTCCTCCACCATCAAAGATTATCTATGTCAGTAAACTTTGCATCAGTATAGAGAAACGGTACTATTTCCCTACTTCTGAGTATTAATATCTAAGTTACTTATGAAAGTCATTTCTTTTTACTGTATTTAATATGATTTAAGTGTTTCTAACTACATCATTTCAATTGCCACTTTTAGCCTCAACTATTTTCATGATACTAGTGCCTGGTAAAAAAAAAAACATTAAAATAATGAATATATTCTTGAAATAACTAAATTCACTATTAAACATGGACAAACATAAAAACAGAATATGGTATTTCATGACATGCCCATTCTTTATAGATTATGATCCTTTTTGTCCCCATCACATCATTTTATTTTTCATTTAAGTTTTCATTTGATCATGAATTTTTGCAGGCTCATTTTAAAGAGTTCGAAATATATGTATGCTTATACATTAAAAAAAAAAGTCAGCCCCTCCTTTACCCTGCCTACTAGCCTCACCCCCCAGGAATAAGCTTTGTTCACTCAATGTTGTATTTCCTTCTACACTGTTTCTAAGCTCATAAAATTATAAATATCATTATTTACTGTCCAGGGGATGTTAGTTATTTAACATCTTCATATTTATTTGTGTCTAATGCAATGACTGTTAATAATAGCTAATAGGGGAAAAAGACTTTTACAAGCTTACTCCTATTTTGTTATATACCTATACATTATAACCAAGTAGACACTAAAATCCACTTAATTATCTTACAATTGAAAATTCACCAGTCCAGTTACTAATATTGATCTTGTCAGTGGAATTTGCAGTATCTGACATCCTTGATTACAGACATCATGGCTATCTAAAAATCCTCTATATTTTGTATTCAGGGATTTACATTCAAATATTTTGGTTCACTTGTTGGTAATCAATTATTTTGGGCCATTTATGAGAAATTTGTATTTATTCTAGAATTTTTCTAGGACCTAAGCACAGATAAATTCAGGATTTTGATTATTATTCATTCCAAAAATATACTAACATGTCATTTTAAGTATTATTAGCCTTACAGAGCTAACTTGCTTAAAAGTGTGACTTGCAATAATCTATCATATTTATACAGACATGGCATTTCATAAACACAATGATAGTTGCGACCTATATCAGGTTAAAATATATATACAATATCAACAGCTTTTACAAACAAAGGCTTTTAAAGAGAATCTTTCTATGGTCATAATCTGTTAACTTAAATAGGAATTTATTTAAAAGTTTTAAATGATGAGATAATATAAAGTTAAATATACATGATCTTTATCAATGAATATTTAGTGAACACTTATGACAGTAACTTGTAATGTTATCTCTGAAAGAGTGGTAGATCTTAATGCAAATTACTTATTTTTTCATTATTTGAAATTATTATAATAGTCCCACATTTTCCAGTGGCAATATTAGTAAAATCGTATATATTTTGCCCACAGATAATACACAGTTGTGCTAATTAAATATGTCAGAATAATTAAAAAATCCATTTGTTACTATTACTGAGATGAATATTTGGTTAAAGTAAAGGGCTAATGTTGCATTAATTACAATCAGTTCATTTTGCAAAAACATAAATAAAGAGGTGCAATGTAGCCACAATTACTGAAAAAAGTGATTGCCTTTTTAAGGTGCCCCATAAATATTTTTCCAAGTATTGGTTAATACATGTATAATTTAGAATCATAGGTGTGTAAATTACTTGTACGAGTAAAATAGATAGTACCAGAGTTTTAAACCATGAAGTAAAGAAAATATAAATCCTTATTTGAATTAATTTAGCAGAAAGCCTAAATTTTTTTCTTATCACATTTAAGAAAAACAGATGATTAACAATAATATATTTATTTTCATATCTGCTAAATATAAAAAATATTTAAATGTTCAGAATAATATGTATAAAAGTAATACATTGCTCATATGTTTTATAGGAATTGAAACCAAGAAGCAATTTTATTTCCTAATCATCTGGATTATTATAAAACAACTTGTATAATTAAACAAATTATTTAGAAAGTAATATTAACAATCTAGATAAAAAATAATAAAGAAAACAATGTAGAATATAATTAATATGGGAAATTGCTCAATGTACTAATTAAAAGGCTTCAAATGAGAAATACCAAACTACTACCAATAAAAGGCTATAAGATTATATAAATTAAATGAAGCACTTGCTTTTTAAAAAAACCTAATGAAGCTTTCATGTGTTAATACACTTTTGAGTTGATTGAGTACCTCTATCTTCTTAAACAATCATATAATTATTTAACTAATTTGTAAGTTAAATGAAGTAAATTTAGTTATAATCTCAAATTAAGAATGTGTTTTTATCATACAACTTTTATCTAGATCCTATTTAGATAATAGCTTAGGATAATTTGCATATTTGCCACATATATTACAACACTGAATGTCTCAATATAACAATTTGCTAATTACTCTCTTGCCAATGATAATGCAATATCATAGAAATATTTGAAAAATAACAGCATAGTATATTATTAGAATTACTGCCATAGTTAGCTGACAGATTGAGACCTACATGACCTAAATTATTCAATGTCAAATGTTCCTTCTTATGCATTTTTACTGTATTGGTTTAAACTCAATGTCCACGTTTTAATATTGTTATGATGGTCGAAATGATGATGGTACCCTTATTTTTCTGGAATAATTTTAATATTCCATACTTAGGTAGATATATATTATCTAGATAATACAAGTTAAGTTAATCAATACAGGAAAGAGGAATACATTGAGAACAATTTATTTTTGTGGGTAATTTACTCTTTCTATTAATTCATTGGTATTAATAGTATTAAATGACATCCGTCAAGGTAATCTAAGACCAAGTACCCATACATTCAATTATTTAAAATAATTAGTATCAAAATTAAATTAAATTTTTTCTTACTTAAAAGTCTTTTAAAAACTAAAAAAAATTAAATTTAATGAATTTTCATAAACTGAGAGCAAATCAATATGGCACAAAATAATCAGATCTCTAGTTCATGTAACTTGGAATTATCATTCATAAATTAATATATACAAGGAATATTTAAAAGTATGTTAGCTTTCAAATATACCGGGCCTTAAGAAGATATTAATATCATAAAGACTTCTTAATAAATGCTAAATAAAGATGTAAATATGAAGTACTTTGAATTTCCTATTTGAAACACATAATATATATTCAAGGTAACCTGACTTCTTTCTAATTTTGGCAGAAAAGTATATCTCATTTAAAATCTTAAATAAAATTATCCTAAATTAAAATTGATTTCCACTTACTATGATTGTGAATCACATAAAATGAAATATTTATCAACCTTAATTAGAGGATGTTTTACTTTTTAACTATTTATATTTGATTTGTTTCTTAAAAAGGAGCTTACTTAAAATGGCATTATAACTCTTGCCCAAAAAGAAATAAACAAGAGTAAAAGACAAATATCCAAGCTTTCTTAGAAATGTGGGTTCTCAATTCTCTAATTATAGGATATTGTGCCACCTACCTACCAGTCTATGACTTCGAAACACATAATTCATGTTTCCAATAAAGACAGATTACTGTACCTATGTGCCGGTATCTTTCGATTTCCAACAATCAAGATAACATCACAGAGCTGTTGTTGTTTCAAGTAACTTTCCATTTTTCTGAAGGTTTGCTCAGCATGGTGAACGGCCTGATAGAATTCTTCAGAGCTACTGGAATCCAAATCACTCTGAGGTGCCAGTGAATGGCTAGTTGCTGACAGCCTGCAAACCACATACAAAAAAAGGTGATTTTGTAAAGGGCAACCAATAGTCCAGACTACATTACAGAGTTTTAGAATTTCATAGGGAAGTCAATGAATCTCTCCTTAGGTTCATCATTATGAATATAGGTAAAAAAAAAATCTATGTTGGGTTAAATCAGTTCTTCTAGAAAGCAATAAATTAATTATAAATTATTTTTATTATTTAAAAGGTAGATTATCTGTATTTATTAGGACATTAAGTTAGTAAACTTGAAAACATCACAGAAATGGTAAAATACAAATATACCTATTATAAAAATATAAAACAATTACTATGAAATGTTCATTTAATCCATTTGATATTCAATCCATTTGACAAACTAATTATACTATTCTAAATTATGATTCTTATGAGTTGTAGTAACTGTTGCTTTACAGATGTTGGTGATTTTTATTATAAAAAATTATGAAACATGGTTTGTAAAAAAAGATTGACAATAAATTTAAAAGTAAGTTGTTGAGTTTTATATTCTAAACTCAACTAATTAATATTCCCAACTAATTAAACAAAATATATGCAAACAGATGTGTCAGCTCAGTACTTATCAATATTTTAATAATCACTATATACCAAGGGTGCCAAACAAATGTATACAATGTATACAAGTGGACACTTTGGTCCACGTAGCTCAAGTAGTAGTTCGCCATAATCAGGAGTGTCTGGACGCTGATGGTAACCACTTTGAGCATCTCTTATAATTGCAGAAATCAAACATGACTTGTATTCATCTTTTGTTATTGGTATGTACAGAGTATTGCAATTTTAATAGAGTTTTCCTTTCTTAAAATGTGTATACAATTTTTTGGAACCCTCTGTATATGTAATAAACTTCAGGTTTTGAAAAAGTCCATGATACATAAGTTTGGCTACTATATCTATTAATATCATAGACTGTTTCACAATGAAGATTTTAAAATATCTTATTCCATATCAAGAAGAAGACTTTCAAAATACTTAGATGTATGATATGCCCAGCAGCCCCAGTCAAGTGTTCTGATGATAAATTCTTAAAACAATTTAAAAATAAAAGTGAATTAAATACATAACAATAATAATGAAATAGCCCATTTGAAGATAGAAAGTAATACGGAGAATTCTGCTTTCAATTACGATGCAATAACTATTAGTTGACTAAAGTACACCAGAAAAAAATGTTACATATATTATCAAAATAACTATTTGACTTAATAATAGCTACTAAGGCAGTCAGGACTTGAAGGACCAAGATCCTATAATAAAATTAAATTCACGGAAGTCAGCTCAAAATTCAACGCTGCTTTTTGTTTCCCTCTCTAGGTATTTACAAATTATAGGCAGTATAAGCTGAGGCTGGGAAGCTCAGCTTAATGTGCCAGCTAAGCAGGACTCCTGGCAATATTACGGCATTTGGGGGAAGAATGGATATTGGAATTATGGGTTGCAAAGGTAGCCAGAACTTGAGGGGTAAGTGTTGGGCCAAAACGGAGGAACATTCACGTTAGGCTGTCATTGTGTGCCATTTTTCCCCTAGAGGTATTGGATGATTCCTAAGCGCTGCTAGACAAGGAGAAAATGGCTTATAGATGTTGGGAAGTTAACAGAGTATGAGATTCAAAAATTTGAATTTAAGGACTAGCAAGGATAAAGGACTCTGATAAATACACAGCCTTTCAACTGGGCTTCCTAAGGGCTGTACCTAGGAGTCCAGGGAACTAGAAAATACTGAAACCTAGATCTGAATCAGTGTAATCTCTATTTGCCTTAAGGTAATCCTCTAATGAAAAAGTCAGCAAACAGTCAAAATAAACCATCTTTAGAAAAAGATAACCTTATCTAACTTTCTGATTTCTTGTATATATTAATTGTTTGACATTAAAGAAAAAAATAGCAAGCTTATAAAGAAATAGGACCTAGAATAAAAACAAGTAATAGGAACAGGCTCCCAGGTGATACAGATATGTCTGAATAGATGGATTACAAAGATATTTAATAGATATGAAAATAACTGTTATTAATATATTTTAATATTGACAATAAGCTGGACAATTTCACAGAACATTAGGTTATATAAAAAAATAAAATGGAAATAAACAAGGAAGTATAATAATTTAACCTAAGATGTTGGTAGATGAACTGAAATTGCAGATTGGATGCAGGTGAAGAAAATATAGTAATCTGAAAAAGAAATAAAAATATTCAAGCTAAAATACAAAAACATAAAAAGATTAAAAAAAAATGCCAGTAGCTTCATTAACAAATGAAACATGGTAAGAAATTATACTTATGTAATTATAGTCTTCAAAGCAGGGGAGAGATATGATGGGGAAAAGCCATCTTAAGAAATAATGGCCAAGAGTTTTAGAAAAATATATTAAAGACATCAAGACACAGATTCATGCTTCACTATATATCCCACAATAAAACAAATAACACTACATATCATAGTAAAAAAAATGCAAACCCTCCCCCGCAAAAAAATTTGCCAGAAAGCACATCCCCCAAATCATTTGAGGCAAATATAACATTGATGCAAACCCTAAACAAAAGTTACAAAAAAGGAAAATGAATGCCCTTTTGCTCTTCGAAATATATTTTTAAAAATCCTAAGCAAAATATTAGCAACCAAATACAAATATGTATCTTAAAAAAAGAAATGCATATAAAAAATAAATGTATCAAATATGTAGTTGATAATGTATCACAATTAAGTTGGACTTCATTAAGAAACACAATTTAATCATGTAAATCCACCTAATTCATTCACAGAGCAATCATCATGATATTTAATTAAAACCTCTTGTCCTTGAGATTGAAAATGACGTCCCTTAGTACTGTACTTCAATCAACATTTTTCTGGAGGGCCTTGGCACTGTAATGTTAGCAAGGAAAAAATAAATAAAGCTAATTACAGCTAGAAAAGAAAAAAATATATAAGTGCTATTATTTCCAGAAGTTGTGTTTCTACCCATAGAAAATCTAAAAAAAAAAAAAAGACGAGATTACAAATCTAAATTTTTAAAAATTATGTGTGTTCTCTGTTATCTACAATATGTGTCTACCCAAGATGGTTACCTTCATCAGACTTTACAAGTTTTCCCTTAAGTATTTGAAACTAATAGAAATTTTGCTGTGCCATATGCTTTCCTTTCACAAGTTTGCAAATTACAACCTCATAATATGGTCATTTCCCAGCATATATTTTAGGAATTCAGGCTCAGGCATATGTAGCAAGAACAGTAGAATTCTTCCACACATTTATACTTTGAACACAAAAGTCACAAAACACCCTGAAGGATGCATGTTTAAGTCTAAAATGAATTATTATTGGCTCTCAGGTAACTGAAGAGAATCAAGCCAGGGCTGTAGGGTTGTCAAATGCATCAAAACTGTCCCACTGAGTTCCTGACGATGTGGCCTGGTACCAGACTGCGTGAATAGGGTCCAAAAGTCAAGATAAGAGAGACTGCCATGCACAACGTTTCCAGATTGGAATAAAGAAGATGAGTGACAAAGGCTCCATTCATCCTTATGTTAATTTCCTACAAGTTAAATAACATATTTAGGGCAGAAAGTTTTACTCCTCACTAAGAATTTCATAGCCTGGGAAAGGTTATCAAGAAAATAAGTTAATATTCTGTATTTCCAAGTCACTGAAGTTAAGATGGATGCGTATTGGAGCAAACAGTGAAATACATAGAATAATATAGCTTTTAGAGCTCAGCAAGATTATAGACATAAAATGAACAGGGCATAGAAGTTGACAGGACTAAAGGTTAAAGCTCATCACTGTCAAGACAGGACCTTCTTTTATGTAAACTAGGTACAGTAACCAATATAGGCTATAATGTGAACTTGGGCCTTTTCTGAAAATTTAAAAGTAATTAGAAAAAATAAGTGTTAAAAGAACAGAGCTACAAACTGGCCTCCAGACCATTTTTTCAGAGTTTATGTTTACTCTTAGACTTGTTCTTAAAACGCCTCATGCTTTGACTTTCTCTATATTATATCAGAGAACAAGTCACTTGTTTTGAATGTTGGTTGATCTTTCACAGAAATGGTTTGTTGGTCTAACTTGATTTTCTCTCTATAAAATAGTCACAGTCAGAGCGCTTGCCACATTTCCTCATAAGCCATCTCCTGATCTCAGGCTTGAGTAGACTTTTTGTCTTTGACCTTTGACTCCAGATTTAAAAAGAAGTTTCCACATCAGAACACTTATGATTTGTACGTTAACATTCATTATTTAATCTTCTTCCCATCACATATCAAGCCTTATTATTTTAACAGTTGAGACTTTAACATTTTAAGAAATAGATTATATCTTTACAATGCATCCTATAAATACTAAGTAAAAAATTGACACTTGATTATTTCTATTTTTGTCTAATTTTTATATCTTCATCCTAAACTATACAGTCTCTTTGAATCTGAGACTCTCTCAGATGTTACGATCTGATACTGTAATCTTTATCTTTATTGTGGCTCAACAACATAAAGCTTCAAGTTACAAGAAATGCAATTTAAAAAGTTCAGTGTGACTTCTTTGCATCAGAATTTAAACATGCTTCAGATTCCCCTAACGTAAGATATATAAAACAATAAAATGAATAAAAATGTTTTTGGACCTTAGGAATTACTCACGCCATAACTGTTCCTCTCTATTTCCTTTCACAACCATATGTCTAGAAAGCATTGCATGCGCTCATTATCTTCACTCCTCTGAACACTCCTCAATACATTTCAACTTTATTTTCCCAAACTACCCATCTAATATAACTGCTTTTGCCAAGGGCGCTAATGTCTTCTTCGTATGACTGTATTTAGCTTTCATTTTCATTTCTTAATTGTCGTAAACGGACCAACATGCAGTCCTATTCCCGTGCTAAACAATTCAGGGCTAAACATCATTTACTTTCCTTGCACCAAACAATCCTGAGATGAAGCACTGTTTTCCCATTTTTGTGCTAAACAATAGTGAG